GAATGGGGTTATTTCGGCAGTTCAAGCTCTAGTGGAGGGGGCGGAAATGACGGGCACCACGGTGATCAAATGGATGAAGATGCTCACTTCACAGGTTACCACGGCTATGGAGGGTTCTATGATGGAGGAGATGCGGGCGGGCACTAGGGACAGTGCCTCATCCTAAGTGTGGGGGTGTTGAGAACTATTCCGGTATGCACCAATTTCATGCTCTTCATTATTTTCTTAAAAAAAAAAAATAAGCTTGTTATGTTGAAAACCCAAAAGGGCAACTTAAGCAAAATAAAAGCAAAAAGAAGAGTGAGTTGGTAAGAACAAAAAAGGAAAATGTGAGAAGCTGGGCTGAAAACCCGAAAGGGCACCTAGGCAAAATGAGAGAATGAGAGAAAGTATTTCTTTTTTATTTTGCAGGATCCTGAAGGTGACTACTATACAGAGTTCATCGAATGAGGAAGCTGACATTGAAGACCCATTTTTACTCTTTTGGTTTTGGAGATACTTTATGTTATTTGCTTGAACACTTGTGGTTGTTGGTGTTGCTACTTCTGCCATTTAAAGACTTCTTGAACAGAACTCATTTTACTCGAGACGAGTAAAAGTGCAAGTGTGGGGGTGTTTGATATGCACTAGTTTATAGTGCATAAGTGTATGCTTTTATATCAATATTGTGTAGACTTTCCATCACTTTTAGTTAGTTTGTAAGTATTTGTTTTATTTTAGTTGTAATTGTTTTTACCTTCTATTTCTAGCTATAGAATAGTGATAAAGTTGTTAGCAAGCAAAAGGGGAGAAAAACTGAAGGCAGATAAACTCAGGAACACAGACCCGGTCGGGTCCCTCACTCGACCCGGTCGGGTCAGAATTGACCCGAAGCACCAGAACATGCTGCAGGTTTGGAAAAGATTGGATTTTGGTCAAACCCGGTCGGGTCCCTCACTTGACCCGGTCGGGTCTGACTTGACCCGGACAAGTTAACGTGCAAAAACAAGAAATCGTGGGAGATAATCCGATTTTGACCGGTACCCGGTCGGGTATGTACCTATACCCGGTCGGGTACCCGGCCAAAGGTGTTGAAAAACACCTATAAATAGCACACTTTTTCTTCACAAAAGAGCCATCCCTTCTTCCTTATACTTAAGCTCAGTTTAGAATAGCATTTCTTTATATTTCTTTTAGCATGTTTAGTCTCCAAATGAGGAACTAAACTTCCATTTCTTGGTTTTGCTCTTGAAGCTTGTTGATTATTAAAGTTGTGAGTTATCTTCTTACTTTCTCCTCTTGATTATTAATTCTTCCCTTAATCTCATTCTATATTAATGTTGGAGGGTGGCTAAGTGACGATTAGTCAACGTTCCGACATTAATTATTACTAGGAACGATCAACGAACCGATGGTTAAACGTTGATGGTTTCACAAGTAAGTAACTTCGGTTTATTAATGCACGGTCGTGGTTAATAAACTTAAGAGGGATTAATTTTGTTGGTTAAACCGAAACCGTTGTGCCGAGGTTATCAATCTCAATTGATTTCATCAAGGAGTTAAAGAGGTTAAATGCTACTATTAAACCGGTATACGGCGTTGTTCTTTATTTTGGTTAATAGTAAGGGTTATTAATGAACGGTCGTTGTTAATAACTACCCTCGATGAATTGGATATACTCCTCGATTGAGTATTCGAGAGGGGATAAGTTATAGATATAACAATGATCGACTAAAATATATCAACAAGTGGAAAGTAGCAAGACCAAGTCCCTTTTATTCTTGAATTTAATCCCATATAACTCGTTCATCTTCGTGTTTTATTTAATTAAATCACTCAACAATCAAAACCCCCCTTCATTTACTATTTATATAAAAAGAAAGTTATTCCTTTCCCTGTGGATACGAACTCTACTTCACCTATACCACGTACAAGTGTTAGTGTTGAAATTACTTTGAGTGCACTCACGACAAAGTGCACGTCAGCTATGCGAGTTTTTTTTGAGTCAATGCAAATTGTTAAGAAATGTAAAATCTGCTTTTTATTTGCATTTTTTCTAATAATTTGCTTACTTTAAATTTTTAAAAATTCTATAGTGTCGTTTTACATTATGTATGTTTTCATGTATTTTATTTATTTGAAAAGTTTTTTAGTATTCATCCATTTTTGATATTTTTACTACTTTTATATACTATGATATTTTTAAAATTTATATGTGAATTTATAAAAAAAACATTTGGTCCTCTTAATTTATATAAAAAAATTACTTTAGCATGTCAAAATTGCTATATTGAAAGTGTTTTAAAGGTAAATATGCTTAAATGATACAATTACTTTCTTTGTATGTGTACTCAACTGACATGTTAGAAATAATAGAAGAGTCTATTTAAACATTTTCTCACAAATTTATATTTATGTATAGTTTAAGAATGACATAACACAGTTTCACATATTTGCACCCCCCTATATTGCTCATTTACTAAGGCAATTCGTTAAATAAATGCAATTCGATCATATAAATAAAACTATAAATAATATAGCCTCGGTAAATATAAATAAACCTTTGAAAATGGAAATTTTATTTGCCAAAATCATTTGTTCATTGCACGGGTGAATTACTAGCAAAACATCTATCTATCTATATTCTAATATAAAAGCAAAATATTTTTGGGGACCAGTTCAGTCTGGATCGGGTTTAGGTAAAGCCGAAGAAAAGCCCTACAATCTAAGGTTGTGAAAATTAAAACTAAAACAAGGACTATTGTATTCGGTTCAAGTCGTGTTTTTAACTCTTGAGTTAGGGTAGGACCGGTTAAAGCCGGTCGAGAGTAATTACCAACAAATCAAATCCATTTTTAATATTTTGTATGTTTAAAATAATGGGGGTTTTCCATTATTTAAGGCAATTGTTTCAGGTATACTGATTAGGTTGTCGGTATATGGATTTTAGAGATCACAAGTGCGATCGATTTTTCGGATTTTGTTTAGTAAATTCTGTTCGATCTATCTAAAATGAAATAACCCAGAGCTTCAAGAAATTTCAAACCAAATTAGGGTTAGTTTGTGGTTTTCAATTCGATCTTTTCTAGACCGTGCATTCATACCAAATTATATCTATATTTACTATATCATGTTGGATCAAAATCAACACACCTCATCCCCTCTCCAAACCCCTCCCCCAACCTACATTGCTATTGCCCTATACCCTACCTAGGTCGGTAGCTAGGTGTTTAGATGCCAAGATCTATAAATACAGTCGCCATATCACTAGAAGGTTCCCTCATATCACTAGAAGGTTCCCTGAAATCCAAACCGTCGTAGCCACTTTTCCTCGTCGTCATTGCTATCATTATTTCCGAAGTAAATTGGTAAAGTTTTGTCATAAATAATAAGTTATACATATAGGGGTGGGACTGGGCGGTAGAGGAGGCCGCAACCCCACACGATTTTTTATTATTAGTATATACATATGTATAAATATTTATATGCAATAAACAATATAGTGAAGTTTTAGGGCCGTTTATTAACAAAGATATTTTTTCATTTTATTTTTTGTTTTCTGCTTTTCAATTTTCTGTTTAGATTTATTTTCTAGTTTTTCGCTTTCTAATTTTCTGTTTTTATTTTCTTGTTTTCTATTTTAAAATACAAAAACATGTTCACCATTTTTTCACCCGATTCTAGGATCGGATGGAAGATCAAAAGTACGGTCCCGGACCGGAACTGGACCTGGTGCAACCCAAATAAGGGTACCCAGTCCGGAGCATATGAAAGTTGAGACTGAAACAGACCGGTCCTGGTCAATACTAACAGCTAGTTTGTCTAATTAATTTCTTTTTCCCTGTTTATTGGCGACTTAATGGCTTTTTTGAAACTCTTCACTTTGAGAAAATGTTTTTTTAAAACCGGAGACTATACCGGGACAAGGGCTGCTAGGTCGTCGAACAGATCGATCTGACAGAGATTGTCGGGTCATCGACCAGACATGACAAGAATTGAGACTGCGGAGAGACCGGGTCCACCACTAGGTGGAAATGTGGAAGTAGGCACATTCATTGCAGCAACACTGCAGCGTCCGCGTATTTCAAATTTTAAAAACTAGTAAAACTCACCTCTCTAATTAATTAAGGAAAACGAGCCATGTCTCGTTTTTATGGGAGATTTACCTTAACAAGACTAAAACATGGTTTTTTCATAATAGGATTTTTCATTTGTGATTGGACCAAAATACCCTCAAAGCCATTACCGGTGCTGCCACAGGACTCGTCGGACCGCTGCCTTCGGCCTACCTCCGAACCTTCGGCCGCCACCGCCAAAGCACTGCTCGAAAGTTCATGATTTTTATCCTGGTAGCCTACCAGATTTCTGTCGCCGTAGCCTCCGTCCGCCATTGTCCGCCGCCGCCGGACTTCGCCGCCGCAACTGGAATCTGCCGCCGCTGCTATCGTCAAGCTGCCACCACCACCGTACTGCCCCCGCTAGCAAGAGACTGCCTTGGTTGTGTAAGATAACTAGAGAGACATTTAATTGGATAAATTAATTCAATTGGGAGTAAAAATGGAATGATTAGTTCTATTTAAGGAAAATCAAACATTAAGTCATATTTTGGGAAAAAATCTACTCCCTCCGTCCCTTATAACTTTGACAACTTTCTTTTTTTGGATGTCTTATTAACTTTGTCACTTTCCGTTGTAAGTAAAGATTTTGTGGTTCTAGTTAATTCTCTCTCCTATGCACAAAACTCAATCACACAATTGTTACTTTATTAATTCGGGTGTCGGTCAAACTTGACAAAATTATTAGGGATGAAGGGAGTATATTTTTATCTTAGCCGTGACAATTTTCTCTTTTTCAATTTGGTAAACACATTTTTTTTTGTTTTCTTTACCTAGTTTTCCATCAAATTTTTCGACAAACCCTGCCCCTAATTTGTCAATTTCTTATTTCTGCCTCCATCAAGATAACGATGTCTTGTAGAGTTGTAGGCTGTTTTACCGGTACCTTCCCGTCACGTTGTATGGCATAGCCGGTGGACCCTCACCGAAATATAAAAAACAATATTCCGTAAAATAGTAGATTCAGTGGTTAAGCAGATGAGTTGTTTCCAGCCAGCCTGGTCGAGCATTCTACACGTTGTGGCTAGACTAGACTAGACTGGATGGCCCCACAGTATCAGAATCCGCCCGAATACTATAGATGCCATTCTCCCAAACTCCCCTTTGCTTCGCTATCCCCGCCTCCGGAGACCTCCATTTTGTAGATCTAACGTCAGCATTTATCTTAAAGGTGATTCCTTTCTTCCTCATCCTATTCTTCATCTATTTGGGTTTTTTCCTCCTTTCTTGAAGTAGATTTAAGTCTTCCGTATTCAATTAATCTTGGAAAATGAAGTGGCAAGTGAAGATCGAGTGAGGAGGAAACGCGCCACATTATGAATTTGCTGACGATATATGTTCTTTTTTGTGATTTTTACATCAGCTTTGTTCGGAATTCCACCATGGTTGCCCAGGGATTCACTGTGGATCTGAATAAACCCCTCGTCTTTCAGGTAAAAAAACAACATTTTTTTTGTGCGAAAGCGAGATTTCTCTTCTCTGTTTTCGGTATCCTCTTTGATGTCATCTGTTTTTTGCAAACTTGCAACCCGGTGTTTTGCTTCTATTCGTGCTTCAGTGTAGCCGGGAAGGAGTTGTGTTCTTTTCCATGTTAATTAATTTGATTGCTCGATTGCAATTGTGACTGGTTGGAATGGTGTGCAGGTTGGCCACCTTGGAGAAGCTTATGAGGAGTGGGTTCATCAGCCTATTGTTAGTAGAGAAGGCCCTCGTTTCTTTGAGAGTGACTTTTGGGAGGTATACCATCTTAACACCTCAAAAAGATACTTATGGATTTGTTTGAGATCAATATTACATTATTGCTGCCATGAATGGAATTACTTAAGCTTACTCACAGAGGGACTACAAATATACATGCCCTTTTTCAGATGCTCTTTGTGCTCATGGTGAAGTTTGTTGTATTGTCACCATCATTACTATACTAATTCTGTTATACATTGGAACAGTTTCTAACCCGCACTGTGTGGTGGGTAATTCCTCTTGTTTGGCTCCCAGTCGTATGCTGGTTCATTTCAATGTCTTTTAGGATGGGTCACACCCTTCCTCAAGTGGCACAAATGGTGGTACTGGGTATTTTCATTTGGACACTGGTAGAATACATTCTTCACCGTTTCCTTTTCCATATCAAGACAAAGAGCTATTGGTAAGTTGTGCCTTTTCACATCTCTTGCTGAATTCTATCTTTATTCCCGGCGCTCTGTTGATTAATTTTATGGTTATACTGTCAAACAGGGGAAATACCTTTCATTATCTTATTCATGGCTGTCATCACAAGCACCCTATGGATGGGCTACGTCTAGTATTTCCTCCCGCTGCTGCTGCTGTCTTATGTTTCCCAGTACGTGTAATGTGGGCGTGCCTCATGAATATTATTACTTTTAATTTTATTATTGTGTTGTGGTTGTTATTATTATTATCATTATTATTATTAGTACTACTAGTTTCCCACTAGTAACTAGTATAGGTATTCTATATTAGTTACTCGTATTATTACTAATAGCAGTTTTATATCCTCTTCATTCCATTATATTTATCCCATGATTCCTTTTTTGTTTGTCCCACTAAGTAGGTATCGTGGTTCTAAGTCATCTTGATTTATCAGGCTCCAATCTTACAATTTAATAACAACCAAATAATTCTACTTTTCTTAATAACCGTGGAACTTCCTCATGTCCCAATCTCATGTCCCCTGCCTTTTCTGTTTTTTATTTTTCTCGTCAAGAAAATTACAAAAAGAAAATATGGCTGGAGAAATGTGAAACTAATGAAACCTGTCCAACATAATACCTTGTTATCTCCAGTTTTACGCCTATAATTTCCATGATCCATCTGACAGAGAAAAGATAAGAAAAAAGGTTGGACGCCACTTTCTTTTGTCTAAGGCCCTTCTATTCTTTTTTGTCCTTACAAAAAAGAATGTGGCTGGAGCAATATGAAAGTACTGAAGCCTATCCAGCAGAACCCTTGATTTCTACAAGTTTACCCAATACTCCTGCCGACAGAGAAAAGAGAAAAGAGAAAAGAAAAGAACAGCTGAGCCAGCAGCTCTGGCTATGAGTTAGCTTGTATTGTCTTTCTGCACTAGCCAATTAGACCGGCATGTGTGTTCCTTCATTGGATTGCGTGAGTTGCTTAATAGCCAAGTCATTGGGCTCTTCATGTGGTCCAAAGAACAGTGATAACAAAGATGGATCATGTACCAGCACCTCCATCCCTTCAAGCAGGAAGCCAGGAATAACGGCGCCTCACCAATGACATTACTCCAACACAGTGCAATGCAGTGCTTGTGCCAGCAAGAATGTCTTGGAAAAAGTTGTGAGAATCGAATGTCTAGTAATTGACAAAACAAAGGCTCTTGTAAGTGCTATTATAGATCTTACAACTTCTATAGACAAACTTGCTTCAGTTGTTACTCCTCCTTTAACATAGGCTTTTGCGTCCTTCATGGAGGATCTTGATTCTGTAACAAAGAATCGCTTCTGTGGAAAGTGTCCATACACGTTAATACGTTTAACCCATTGTGGAGACAATTATTCCATGCTGATGCTTCTGCAAGACACGCTAAGGGTTTATGTTATAATTACGACAGTCAATATGGGAACAATATCGCTGCAAACGCTCCATTTCATGAAGTGGAAAAGCTTAGTCAATGAAGAAAAGCTGCCTTGATATCTTAAAGATGCATATAAGATCGTCAACTGTAACATAACCAAATGTTATCATTTGACTATTCTTTTCGCAATGGTGCCGTTTGATTGTGGAAAAGATTTTAATTTCTTATCACTCTCCTTCAAGCTTGATAGCCACAAGGCCCACAAGGGTAGTACTAACGTGGAAATGTGTAGTGATTATTAATTTATTATTAATTTTATTATTATTATTATTATTATTATTATTATGATTATTATTATTATGACTATTACTATTAGTGCTATTGTCTTCTACTGATATTATTATTTCCATATTAGTTGGTGTATTCTATTTTATTTAATATTCTTAGTAGCAGTATTTTAATATAATTATAGTTACTCTAATACTGGTCCACCAAGACTCTTGAAAGTAGTATAAATAGATGTGTTCTAAACTTCTATTCATTAATAATATCATCAGAAACTTTGGAGTTGTCTCTTGGAGTCTAAACAAGATCAGATGCAACCTTCTCTCTCATATGTCGGAGAAGTTTTTCATTTTTACTGATTTTAGCCCTTCTAATTTGATGATGCATGTGTTCACATCATAGTCCCACCAATCGTTAACTTAGAACCCTTTTTGTCTTTTTATGGAACCCATATTATTGGGACGTTTGGGTTTTAGCATTCTCATCAAACACTTAATCCGAGCTCAAAGAGAATACTGCAGAATCTAGTAATCAGTATTTTGATGAAAATGCTGAAAACTAAACTAACCCTACATGATATGCATATTACATGTGAATTGACCTCAAATATTTGCAACACTGGGCAATGCCTGTTTTGGGCAATGGGTGCTAATATAAGAGTTACTCAAGGTTTTTTATATTTCCAGGTGAAGTATCAAATTCTGACATTTAATGATGTCTTATTATAAAACAATGCTTATAGACATTTCACTTAACTTTAGTTTATTTATTGGACATTGTAATTGTAGAACCCTCCTTGCCACTTTTTCATTCCACTTAGAATATTGCTTTTGCATGCTGCATATCAGATGCTTGCACATCAGATATTTGGACTGGATCTCTCTGGTGCTTCAATCTAAGAAGCTCTTCATATGCATGCATGTTCAAATGTATCTAGTTATAATTCTGCACGTCTCACACATTTAATTGGAAAAGACATTTAGCAGGGTGTTTATTTGTCAAATGGACTTGATTCTGAAGTAGAGAAGTGTCGCAGGTGTTCACTTATAATAATAAAAAGGGGCAGCCCAGTGAACATTGGTGTCCCCACAAGGCAAGGGTCCAGGGAAGGGTCCCATGACTACCACCCAAAAAGGTGTATAAGGGGGCAAACCTTCCCTTGTCATTTTGACAAGAGGCCGCTCCCAATGACAAGGGAAGGTTTGCCCCCTTATACACCTTCACGTGTTCGCTTGTAGTATTTGAAAAAAAAATATTGAAGATACTTGACTATAAATGACGTAGTATTATTAATATTGAGATTTAGTAGCTCTCTGCCAACTGTTTATGCTATGGACTTTCTTTTTATAAGAATAACATTATTGAATGGTTTTATTTCTATTCATCTTTTCATGGTGAGAGCATCATGTTATCGCGCTGAATGTTACTCTGTATATTCAAACTATATACTCTGCTTTGTGAGCGGTGGCAGAGCCAGAAAAACGGCTAAGGGGGGTCAAAACCTAACCTATATGCAAAGTGAAAATGGTGGATCGTTTTTAAACAATTTCCGAGTTGAATATTTCATATGTAGTTTATATAAATTGGCACTCGTAGCAACAACATAGATCGTCTTTGCTCTGTTTCTGAGTGGTGTCATGTAAGTCATAACTTTTTACTCGTAATGAGTTACGGGGGCCATAATATATCAAGTCGAAGATATTTCATAGCTCTATACTCTCTAACTTTCGGCGGGGTCGGCTGACCATCCTGACCCCCCTTGGCTCCGCCCCTGTTTGTGATCATGCTACTTCAGAATGTCTATGATTGTTATCTTTGATTAGTAATAGACTGATCCTCTAGGCTTCTTTCTTACAGTTCTGGAACTTGGTAAAGGTCTTTTCCACTCCTTCTACTACTCCTGCTTTGTTCGGAGGAGGTTTACTGGGCTACGTGATGTATGATGTAACACATTACTACTTGCACCACGGGCGACCAAAAAGTAACATGCCAAGAAATCTCAAGGTTAGTGGACATGTAGTGAACTTCCACTTGGTATTCAATTATCATTTCCATATGAGTCTTCAAGTTTTCTAGGTCTGTCCGCAATTTTTGGCCTTTAAGGAGCCACAGTAATCGATAATCGATTCTTTCTGTTGTTTTGATATCCATTTTAGTTTGTTTGTGCTGCCCCCAAACTTACAATGTTTCATATCTGTGGTGCACACTTTCTACCAAGTTAAGTGCTATTTCATCAATTTGGTGCAATGCGAATATAGCATTTCACCAAATTTGTTGAGACAACACCGCCCATTTGCATCTTTTTTACGGAGTATAAGGGGTGTTTGGAATTGATTCTGCTTCTGCTTCTTTTTTAAAACCAGAAGCAGAATCAGAATAAGTTTTAAGAAGCTGGTACCTCCCAGCTTCTAAAAGAACTGATTCTGAGAGTAAATTAGAGCTCCAGAAGTGCTTCTGGAATTTCACCCAAACACTCCAGTTTCTCCTTCTGCTCCCTGAAGGAGCAAAATCAGTTTTGACTTTTGAGAATCAGATCCAAACACCCCCTAAGTAGCTATAAAAACTAAAAAGTGCATGAAGTGAAAATTGTGAATTATACGTAGTATATTTTTGGTGATTTTGTTTGAAGTATGAATTGTCTTTCTAGTTTCTACCCATTGATGTGGATCTACCTGCTGATGTGACACCTTGATCATGCAGAAATATCACTTGAATCACCATTTTCGCATTCAGGACAAAGGTTTCGGTATCACTTCCTCATTGTGGGATAGAGTGTTCAGAACATTACCCCCATCAAAATCAGATGTGAAGAGTTGATAATTGTAATCAGAAATATTTGTCAATGAGTGATCATTATTAGAAAGGCCTTAGAAATTCTTTTCTCAAAGTACATCCCTTCATCAACAGTAATGTGCCCCACCGGACATTATCAAGAAATTTTATTATTAGCGGCTCTCTTGGCAGTGTTAGTGTATGACAATGCTTTGGAAACTATGTATATGCATCATCCTTGTTTGTTAATCATTATTTGAAATCGTTTATAAATCGCAATATAAAGAATTAGCAGTTGTACTTTGACTCTTTGAGTTTGAACAAATGTTAATGAACCTAGGGGTGGAGCCGGTCCAGCCCGGCCTTTAACCGGTTTTTTCAGTCCCGGTTCAAGACCGAGTACCCGACCAGATATCTGATGGGCCTGGTCTGGGTACGATATTTGGGAACTGGACCGGGTGGTCTCGGGCCAAATGGCTAGTTGATTTTCTTTTTAATTATGGTGTACTTGGTGGTGGACCCGGTTCCGGCCGCCCGGGACCGGACCGGCCCGTCACTGTGCGGGCCCAGAACCGGCCCGGTTCTCGGGTCCGGTTCGGGCACCGAACCGGTGGGGGTGGTGGGTCCGGGCTCGGGTGTTGGTTTCGGTGGTCCGGCCGGGTCGGGCCCGGGCCTAACGGTCCAATTTTCAAAAAACAAAAAAAAATCTTTTAATTTTAAAAACCATTTTTGGCTCAACAGCCACTTCCCAAACGGCTATATAGCCGTTGGGTGGGTACCGGGGGGTCCGGGCCCTTGGGTGGGTGGGGGTTAAAAAAAACCTATAAATACTCCTAATTTTAAATATTTGTTCACACCTCTTCTCCAACTCTACCTAAATCCTACTCTCTACTCATCTCCAATTCTCCATATTCATCTTCTCAAATTCTCTTATTCTCCTTTATATTTTATTTTACTATCTAATACTTATACAATTATTATATTTACTTATATATTGATTATCTACTTATAAATACATATACTATATTACTAATATTTCTTATCTACTTAATCTCTACTTATATCTCTTAATACATACATACTACATCTACTTAATATATACTTTATATAATAAAGTATTAAATATACTTTATAAACTATTACTATATACTTAATACATAATAATATCTACTTCTCTACTTATATTTTATATATACTTATTTTCTTATTTTCCAATCTCCATTATACTCTAATATTTAATTCTTATACAATTATTATATCCACTTAATACATACATTCTACATCTACTTAATATATACTTTATATATTAAAGTATAAAATATAAGTGTATTACTCATCTTATAATAGTATACTTATATATTATATACTATAAACATTATATTATATATTACTTACTATAACTAGTATTATACTAGTTAATTAGTTAATTAGCATTCTTGTTACATTTTTCATTATACTAGTTAATTAGTTCATTACCATTATTGTTACATTTTTCATTATACTAGTTAATTAGTTTATTAGCATTCTTGTTACATTTGTCATTATACTAGTTAATTAGTTCATTACCATTCTTGTTACATTTTTCATTATACTAGTTAATTAGTTTATTATCATTCTTGTTACATTTGTCATTATACTAGTTAATTAGTTCATTACCATTCTTGTTACATTTGTCATTATACTAGTTAATTAGTTCATTACCATTATTGTTACATTGTTCATTATACTAGTTAATTAGTTTCTTAGCATTCTTGTTACATTTGTCATTATACTAGTTAATTAGTTAATTAGCATTGTTGTTACATTTTTCATTATACTAGTTATTTACTTCATTAGTATTCTCATTAATTGTTAAAACAACTCTACTTCAATAAACTAGTTAATTGTCATTAGAGTTAAAGTCACATTTTCTTATTTTCAAGTTATATTTGTAGGAAGAAATAGTAGTTCAATCATTTAATTAAAGTACTTAACATTTTATTTAAGCAGTTTTTACTAAATTAAAGTACTTCAAAAGTTGGTATAATTTTAATTTTAAAGCCACACATTAATTCTACTTTGCACTAAATTAGTTTGAAGTATTAATTAAAATAGTTTTAATTAGTTGCATTAGTTTTGTATCCATTATTATATTTGTTGTCAATTAATATTTGTTACATTTTTAAGATGGAAGGTGGTAGATATTCGGTTGATTTGGGTAACCTCCAACGCAATCGAAGGAACGAGATTGGGAGGAAGAAATCCCGCAAAGGTAAAGAACTTGCCGGTTCTTCGTCTCAAAGCCGAGATGATTTTGAAACGGGTTACCAAAGGCGAGATGGAGATGCGATGTCCGAAGAACAACTCCAACAAGAATTGGCCCGACATAATAACCGCTTTCTACAACAACAACAAATCCCGACGACCATTGACGAAGAGGATCTTGAGGATGAAGATGCGGAGGAATTGGAACCGGAGACGGCCGAGGAGGAGGGTGCCGGCAGCCACGACGCCGACGAGCCTGCCTCATCCCAAACCGCCACCGGTAATAAAAAAAGTAAGTCTGAACTAATGAAAAATAATTTTGATAAATGGAAAGACCCACAAACTGGCTATTGGCACGCAACTTGCAAGTGGTGTAACAACAATTATAGTTTGGGAACCTCCGGCGGATACGGATCCGCCGCAAGGCATCTTAAGGCAAAGCACCCCGTGGAGTATGCAAAATTAGGCGGCAGAACGGGGAAGCAAACTCAAATATCGAGGTTTGCGAATTCTCAACCTTTTGGTAATTTCTTTTACAATGATGCACAAAATTTGACTGGTATGGCTAACTTCATTTGTGAAGAAAATTTGCCTTATTTGTTTTCTGAATGTCTTGCTTTAAGAGATTATGCACAAGTAGTCATGGACCCGGGCCCGGCCGGGCTTTTTTTTTGGGAAGGAAGGCCTGGGACCGGCCTGGGTAGCCACCGGGTCCGGTCCGGGTCCGGGCCGGGCCGGGCCGGGCCTCCGGTTCGGTTATAATTTTTTTTTTTTTTGCTTTCCTAACCCCCCCACTCACCCCCACACCCCCCCAAACCCCCAAACCCCTCCTAACCATCAAGCCCAACTTGGCTAACCCCAAAAAAAGAAAAAAAAATTAAAAAAAAATCAATTCGGCCCGGGCCCGGGCCCGACCCGGCCGGGCCGGTTCGCCAAATTCAAGGCCCGAGCCCGGACCCGGCCACCCCACCGGGCCTAGGCCCGACCCGGACCCGGACCCGAGAACCGGGCCGGTTCCGGGCTCGCACAGTGGCGGGCCGGGCCGGTCCCGGGCCGGGCGGCCCGAACCGGGTCCATGCCTATGCACAAGGTAGTTTAAATCCTCAATTTAGAAATTATAGTCGCAAAACTATTAAGAAAGAAATAATAAGGCTTTATAATGCGGAAAAGGCAAGATTACAATTTTTTTTTGCAAACTTTGATGGGCGTGTTACTATTTGTTCTGACATTGATGGGCGTGTTACTATTTGTTCTGACATATGGGAGGATGATTTTCATCATTTATATTATTTGGGCTTGACTGCACATTATATTGATGAGGATTGGAATATGCATAAACGTGTTCTTGCTTTTCGTGAATTTAATGATCGTCACACCGCTGGACATATTTATATTTTGATTGAGCGTATTTTAATTGAGTATAATTTGATTGATAAGGTGTTTGCTATTGGTTTCGATAATGCTACTAATAATACTGCTGCTATACCTAGATTGCGTGAGTTGTGTGGTGCCAATACTTTGATGGCAACGGTGTGCATGCCATGTTATAAATTTATGTGTGTAAGACGGTTTAAAAGCGTTAGGAGATTCCATGGAGGTAATCAAGGGGGGGATTAGACGTATTTGGGGTAATGGTTAACTTAGATTAAAATGGCAAACTTATTTGACTGAAAGAGGTGTGAGATATGTTGCTTTTCCTAAAGATTTGAGTATTCGTTGGAATAGTACTTATAAATTACTTAAAGTTGTTCTTAGATATAAAGAACATTTTCCTGCTTTTTTAAAAGAACATGATAACTATATTATAAACGCGGCTGAGGTCGACACTTGCGAAAAAATTTGTGTTGTTTTGATTTTTTTTTTAATGTTACTGAAACTTTTAGTCATGTTTATAAACCTACCGCAAACCAAGTTATTCGTGAAGCTGTTAATCTTGCCGGTGCTTTTAAAGAATTTGAGAATGCCGTTTACGTTCATTATTTTTGTGATTATATGCAGGAAAAGTTTTTAAAATATTATGCGCATATTCCCCATATTTATGGTATTGCATTTATTCTCAATCCTCGTTATAGACTTGCTAATTTGGAAGATTGTTTCAACTTCTATTATCTTGCGTTTTTTGGTGAATTTCCAATGTATGACGATAACCCCATAGATCCGAAAACGGAATAGAACGAGGTTAGTACTTTATTTTATGCCTTATTTAATGAGTTTCGTGCACAATATAGCAACGCCCCCCCTCCCCCGTCACGAACATCTTCATCTAAAGGAAAATCGATTTTTAAATCTGCATTTGGCAATCTTATGAAAAAAACAAAAACAACTCACATCACTGAACAAAGTGCATTGAATGAGATTACTTTGTATTTAACATATGAAGTTGATTTTGAAGAAAATGATGACTTTGACGTTCTAGATTGGTGGAAGTCAAAAGAAAGAACGTTCCCGATTTTAGCACGGATGGCTAAGCAAGTACTATTAATGCCGATTTCAACAGTTGCTGTGGAACAAGAATTTAGTTCGGCCGGCAACGTCCTAACGGCATCTAGATCGAGATTGAGCGCGGAGTCTCTTGAGACGCTTATATGCTACCACGATTGGTTGAAGGCCGCACGTAGAACTCAAGAAATGAGCATCACCCCCTCCCAAGATTTTATGGATGACTCAACAACCGATGGTGGCTCTACCTATGCCAGAGATTCCGATTGATTAGTATTTTAGAATTTATTATAAAATGTATTTTGTAGCACTTGTCAAATTTATTTATACTTGTACTTCATATTTCAAAATTGTAAACTTGTACTTCATATTTCAAAATTGTAAATTTGTAGTTTTACTTCAAATTAATTTGTAAACTTGTACTTCATATTTCAAATAAATATGTGTTCACTTTTTCATATGTAGCACTTCTCAAATTAATTAATTGGTTACAAACTAACGACTTAAAATTATTTTTCTAAAATATAAAGCCGGTTTTTAAATTAAAAATACATTTACAATATGTAATTCGTTTAAATACTTATACACCTATTTTGTAACTGTTGAGTTTAATCCAACACGATATAGTAAATATATGTATAAATGTGTATGAACAAGCT